TTCAATCCACTTCGGCAACTGTTTGCAAGCGGATTTTGCCATTTCACACAGTAAAATCCAGTTGTAAAGTGCATTGAAAGTGTGTTAGTGTGTGCGTGTGTGAGTGCCCTTTACAGTGCAATGCTATGCTGGGTTACTCTGGTCTAAACCCATTAATTTCAGTGGCCTTAGACTGGAGTAACTGTCCTGTCCAGCGCGAGCTCTGGCTAAGCCAGCGCTTTCTAGGTGTGAGCCAACACACGACCACTGAAGAAAGCTTAAATCATCTTTATTCAACTTCACACGCATTCAGAAGATCATTTACTCACAATCGTCCAGATGGCTGGGTGGAAAGTTACATCTTGTGATCTAGGTGAGAAAGAGATGGGCTTCCCCTCTCCTTGCAGTAAGGGTTGAAGGACAAAGAAAACGGAAAAGAACAATAAAACTCCTATCCTCTGAGCTCAGGAAATTACTCTTAATGAGCCAGTCAGAGGGAAGCTTCTGGGACCCCTAACTGTGGACTCCAATTCCAAGGTGCAACAAGTCTTAAAGATACAGAGCAGTTTTACTAAACTACAGATAACGCTGACTGGGGCCAGCACAGTAACTCTTCACTGGATTGCATTGTGTGCATTAAGTACCATCAAGTCACTTGCAGTTTATGGCAATCCTACGAATTAATATCCTCCCAAATGTCTTCTCATTAACAGCCTTGCTCAGGTCTTGCAAACGGAGGGGCCCCGTGGCTTCCTTGATTGGGTCGATCCATCTCACGTTGGGTCCTCCTCCTTTCCCGCTGTCTGCCTTTGGCTTTCCTTAGGGTTCCTGTCTTGTCTTTCCCAGTGACTCTTGTCTTGGGCTAGACACATTTTACTGTTTTCGGAGTTTCTGCAGTCTTGCTCTTTGAGGGGCATGTCTACATGGGATACTTTACATCAGAGGTCCCCAAACTTATTTGGCCTACTGCCCCCTTTTCAGGAAAAAGAAATTACTCCTCGCCCCCCTGGAAATCTACCTTCACGAAGTGGACAAAAATAGGCAGTTTGTGGATCTGCATCTGCAGCCAGTCTGGTGTCGTGGTTAAGTGCACAGACTCTAATCTGGGAGAACCGGGTTTGATTCCCCACCCCTCCACTTGCAGCTGCTGGGTGACCTTTGGCAAGCCATAGTTCTGTCAGAGCTGTTCTCTCAAGGACAGTTCTCTCAGAGCTCTCTCAGCCCCACCTACCTCACAGGGTGTCTGTTGTGGGGAGGGAAAGAGAAAGGAGCTGGTAAGCGGCTCTGAGACTCCGAGTGAAGGGCGGGGTATAAATCCAATCTCTTCTTCTTCTTTCTATTCTTCTCTCTCTGGATCGTTCCAGCCCACCTAGATTGTTCCAGCGCCCCCCAGGGGATGGTATTGCCCACTTTGGGAACCAGCGCTTTACATCTATACACGTAGCTTCTTGTTCATTCTTACAGGGCCTCGTTGATCGCCGTCGTGAGCCCCTGTTAAGCATTTAAAAAACCACCTGCTGCTGATCTGCAAGCTCATTTTCGCAGTTGTGCTTTTTCTCTCCTCTCCTGTCACTGCGGATCCATCTTTCTGACAGCCCTTTGTGACAAGCGGCCCTTACTGTGTTTGAAAAACTGGATCGTTTCTGTGCACTCTTCCATTAATTAGAGGCTCGTTAGAGGCTTTTCTTTGTGTTATCAGGGCAATCATGGCCTCCTACTGTATTCCACAATTAGACATTTTTCCGCAGAGCTTTTATAGCTCTTGAGCCAAAATGGAACAATGTAGAGCAGATTGATTCGTACGATGGCCTCTTGATGCGATGCTCGGTTTTAAAAACATCACAATTATAGTCCTGACAGCAATTGTAATGAACAGGCCTTTAGTCCAGGTTGGAAATGCCTCAGGGCAACTGCAGAACACTGGGATATTTGCAATCTGATTTTGCCTCCCGTTTGATTCACAACGTTATCTGTATCATAATTGTGAACATGCACCAAGGGTTCTGCGGAAGTCTTTAAACATTCTGAAGAGTTTTTGGTAATTTCCCTGCTTGTTGCTTCAGTTAGGCACAACAATCATTCTTCAGTCCAGTCATATTTACACTACCATGCAAATGATAGACCACTTGCCATCAGTGCTCCCTCCAAGCTGTGGAGTCTTGTGAGCAGAAATCCTACTTTGTGAGCAACTGGCATTAAAGGTGTGAGCGAGCGGTTTGGCTGCTGCATCAATTAGTCTGCTCTGGAGCCATCCCTTCCTGAGCTAAGACAAAAATGTGTGAGCCGGAGGCTAAAAAACTGTGAGCTGGCTCACACTAACTCAGCTTAGAGGGAACACTGCTTGCCATTGTCTTATGTTAAATCTATATGGCTCTGGTAATGTGAGAGCCAGTTTGGTGTAGAGGTTAAGAGCGCAAGCTTTAATCTGGGAGAACCCGGTTTGATTCCCCACTCCTCCACACGCAGCTGCTGGCGTGACCTTGGGTCAGTCACAAGTTCTTTCAGAGCTGTTCTCTCAAGGGCAGTTCCTAAAAGAGCTCTCTCAGCCCCACCTACCTCACAGGGTGTCTGTTGTGGGGAGGGGAAGGGAAAGGAGATAGTAAGCCACTCTGGGATTCCTTCAGGTGGTGAAGGGTGGGGTATAAATCCAATCTCTTCCTCCTCCTTTGAATAAAAACCTAGCTGAATCTGCTCTCTCCTCCTTGAGTCCAATGGGTGCTGTCCGCCTTCCACACAGGGATGCCAGCCTCCAGGTGGGGCTGGAGTTCTCCTGAAATCACACCTGATCTCCAGACCTTAGAGCTCAGTTCCCCTGAAGGAAAGGGCAGCGTTGGAGGGCGGACCCTATGGCATCACATCCCTGCCCAAACTCTACCCTCCCCGGACTCCGACCACAAATCTCCAGATATTTCCCTGTTATCATAATTTGCCCTGTTCTCTCAAGGGCAGCCCTCAAAAGAGCTCTCTCAGCCCCACCCACCTCACAGGGTGTCTTTTGTGGGGAGGGGGAGGGAAAAGAGATTGTAAGCCGCTTTGAGACTCCTTTGGGTAGTGAAGGGCAGGGTATAAACCCAATCTCTTCTCCTCTTCTTCTTCATATTCAAATGTAAGATCTATAAAATGTAGGGGACTCCTATGATGCAACTTAAATATATACGATGAGAGGATTATGACAAAGTTGGCCGACAGATTTGTTTGCTACGATGTTCCCGGGAGGCATCCTCTTCTCAGATCTGCAGTGAGGCTCCGACAGTGGGAGAAATCACCGTGGCACGTCTCGACTCTGAGGGAGATGTCATGCAGACGGCCTGGCCTTCCAGGAGTGATTTGTGTGTCAGGCCAGCACACAGTAGCGATTTCCAGTGTGGAATTTACTTTTATCCGTGATAAGCATTTATATAGCATAAGCAGGTCCTCCAAATGGCTTCCCTGTAGTACCTCAGCAACGCCCACAATCTCCTCAAGTACAACAAAATGATCTTCACTGTACAGATAGGATTGGAGGGGGGTGGGGGTGTAGGGTTGCCAGCTCCTGGTAGGGTCGGCAGGTCCCTCCCAGCAGCTGGCGGGGAATTCGTTTCTACCATAGAGTTTTGCCCAAAAAACCAGAGCATCCCCCCCGACGTGCATACATCATTTCCGAGTCACATGGAAATCTAGGCTTGCCAAGTCCCCCCGGGGGGAGGGGAAACCTCCGCCCCAGAGGCCTGTTCCCCGCCGCCACCGGATTGGGCCCCGGGGGGAACTCTGCCCCAACATGCATGTCACCACGAAGTGACGTGACGACGCCAGGCACGCTGGGGGCGGGGCCACGGTAATCCGAGGGAAAATTCGATGGTCGTGGCCCCGCCCCCAGCATGCCCGGCATCATCACGTCACTTCCTGGTGACGTGGATGCAGCGTGTGCGTACTGCACGTGCGCGTGCTCCGTGATCGGCCCGGGAGTCCCCCGCTGCGGAGGAAGGTAACACTTGGCAACCCTATTGAAATCATGTGGGCACATTGCTAAAATGTCGGGTGTCCCTCTCTCTCTTTTTTGCAATAAGCCCCCCCACCAGCCAGCTAATCGGCAGTGGGGAGGTGGAGCCTGGGAGCGTAAGACCCCCGCCCCCACCTGGGGATCGGGTATCCCTAGTTCCTGGTTGGGAAATCCTTAGAGATTTGAGAGCAGAGCCTGGGGAAGGCAGAGTTTGGGGGAAGGGAGGGAACCTCATGGGCTGTATAAAGCCATAGAATCCATCCTCCAAAGCAGCCATTTTCTCCAGGAGGACTGATCTCTGTAGTCTGGATACCAGCTGTAAATCTGGGAAACCTCCAGGCCCGCTCGGAGGTTGGCAACCTTACGTGGGGGCTGAACCTCGTCTACAGGTTCAAATACAGCCAGCTTTGGCTGGGAAGGCGGGGTAGAAATTAGAAAAATAAATAAATAAAATAAATTCTATTAAGTATGACACTTAACTCGGAGGAACAGTTCAACAAGTGATTTCAGCTTTATTCAGTGAGAACAGCATAAAGGCTCAGCCTTGTAAGGACTAGACCAGCTAGACAAATTCCATAGGCAAAAACGGCAACTTATATACAATTCTGGCTGGGATAGCCACACCTACAATGTTTACAACATCCAATCACATTAGGTACATTACATCCAATCATAATCAAGAGTTAACGTCCAATCCAAACCATTCCCTCCAGAATGCACACCACTGGTCAGTATTTACAATCCGCATAATGAGTGAAGCTAGATTATGCTTTACCATTATGTCTCTCAAGACATAATAAATACAGTGACTTCCTAAGTCTGCCTTGCATGTCAGCAAGAAAGACAGGTATAAATATAGTAAATAATTAATAAATAAATAAAATTCAGTCAAGTTGTTCAGAGGTACACCGTAGCATGGCATGAAAGCAAAGCAACATGGTTTCTGAATTCCTCCATTGCTATGCTTACAATGATTCAAGGCCAATGGACCACTTTATCCAAAATTGCCCATCCCCAGCGTCCATTTTTATATGTTACTTACCAACAACAAGAGGAGAACAATGTCAGGGTTATCACACGCACAAGCTACATGCAGCGGTGTCCAAAAGTCCTCATCCTGATGATTGACATTAACTCCTCTCTCAATTAGTATTTCTGCGACAAATCCATTGTCGTAACGGGCACACTGTGAAAAAGAGGGAAGATACGCTGAAAGCATAGCCTGACCGAACGTATCCATGACCGATTCTGCATTCATTCTACCTATGTAATAATGTTAGGGTTGCCACCCTCAAGGCAGGGACTGGAGATCTCCAACAACTGATCTCCAGATACAGGAATCTGTTTCCCTGGAGAAAATGACAAATTTAGAAGGAGGACTGTATAGCATTCTACTAGGGTTGCCAGGGCTTTGATGCAGCGGGAGGCTCCTGTCTCCTCGCCAGGACTCTTCTGTCCCAGTAGTGACATCATCACACTAGAGCCATAGTATGGTCACCATAGAGTTTCCCCCCTGAATGCTAGAGCATCACTGTGCAACACCTCCAGCGTGATGACATCACTAGCGGTGACATCATTGTGCTGTTCGGGGGTGGGGCCTCCGAAATCGGGGGATCCCCTGGCCCCACTGGGGGGATGGCAACCCTACATTATACCATGCTGAGGTCCCTCCCATCACCAAACTCTGCTCTCCCCAGATTCCCCCCCCAAAATCTCCAGGAATTTCCCAACCAGAGCTGGCAACCCTATGAGCTCCGGTCAGCATACATGGTTCGTCCTGTGAATAAACAACCTAAAATCCTATGCAGAAAATATATCAGATGTGCAAAAAAAGTGAAAACAATAGTTCTGTTTAAAAAGAGTAGAAGAAGAAGAGAAGAGATTGGATTTATACCCCGCCCTTCACTACCCAAAGGTGTCTCAGAGCGGTTTACAAACTCCTTTCCTTTCCCCTCCCCACAACAGACACCCTTAGGGCTGCCAAGTCCCCCCGGGGGGTGGGGAAACCCCCACCCCAGAAACCCGTTCCCCGCCGCCGCCGGATCGGGCTCTGGGGGGAACCCCACTCCAGCGTGCGCGTCGCCAGGAAGTGACGTTATGATGCCGGGCATGCTGGATGGTCATGGCCCCACCCCCAGCGTGCCCAGCGTCATAATGTCACTTCCTGGTGACATACATGTGGTGCGCGCGGGGACGGGAGTCTCCCACTCCCGACGATTTTCGACTTGGCAACCCTAGACACCCTGTAAGGTAGAGGTGGGGCTGAGAGAGCTCTTGACAGAAACTGCTCTTTTTCAAGAACAGCTCTTATCAGAACTATGGCTTGCCCAAGGTCATCCAGCAGGTACAAGTGGAGGAGTGGGGAATCAAACCTGGTTCTCCCAGATTAGAGTCCGTGCACTTAACCACGACACCAAACTGGTGTAGATATGAATATGAATAAGGGTTTTGGGGAGTTTCCCCAAACTGACTCCCATTTCATGTTTCGTGTAACGAGACCCTGATTAAAGTTATGAGGTAAACATAAGGTGATTTTATCTCTAGAATGGAAACAAGGCTGTGAAAGAAGTAGGCCTCTGAGCAGCCTGACAAGCAGTGGAGCGTTACTGTTACCAGGGAAACGGTTCCCTCTCTGAGGTTTCTCAGTGAGTCCACCTTATCTTTGAATGGGTCAGTAGAATTCAAATAGGTCACTCCTGATTGGTTACCTTTACCACTAGTCAGTTATGAACAATATATCCATTCTCACCAGTCTTTAGATAAAAAAGCTAGGATCCAGAGACACAGCAAGCTTTAACTGGCTGAAGGGTTTTGTTGGAAAGAGTAAATGGCAGCAGAAGAAGACCTGTTTGAAGACAAGAAACCTGTGGTCTGGCAATAGGACTGAGAAGAAGATGGGAGACTGCAGAAACAGGAACCTGAGAGGGTTGTCTAAGGAAACGGGGGGTCTTCCAGGAGCAGTGTCTTGGTGTCCTACTTCCAGTGTCCTCAGCCCTGACCGGGAAGACATCACCAACTTCAGAAGTAATACCATTGTCTTCAGTTCTCAGAGGAACCGCCTGACCAGAAAGACTTCCAAGCAAATGAAGGAGAGCTCAGTAAATGCTAACTTTGAATGGAGGATGGAATAAGGGGAACTGGCTATTTGAATGTAATTAGGGGAAAGAATTAGCACAAGGATTGCCGTCTTCCATAGATTCAGCAAATTAATTAAATGTTTTTAAAAGTGCACAGACACTTGGAAGGACCACCTCCTCCTATAACATCCCACCAGTCAAGACATTCTTCCTAAGCCCTACTCTGTATCCCCACACGCAGAGATAAGGCAGGTGGTTGTCAGAGACAGGGCTTTTTCAGTGGTAGCACCAAGCCTTCAGAGTGTCTTCCCCTAAAGTCTTGGCCAGCACCTCTCTTTTAGCTGCCAGGCCAAAATATTACTTTTTACTCACGTTTCTGTTTGAGGGAGTTCCATCTTTTTTAGCTGCCTTTATTTTCTAATTGTAGCCAGAGGACGATTTTATTGCTGGGGAAAAGATCAACAACCTCAGATATGCAGACGATACCACTCTCATGGCAGAAAATGAAGAGGACCTAAAGAGCTTCTTGCTCAGGGTAAAAAAGGAGAGCGCAAAAGTGGGCTTGAAGCTCAACATCAAAAAAACTAAGATCATGGCATCCGGCCCCATCACTCCTTGGCAAATAGAAGGGGAAGTCGTGGAAGTAGTGACAGACTTCACGTTCCTGGGATCCCAGATCACCGCAGACTGTGACAGCAGTCATGAAATTAAAAGACGCCTGCTCCTTGGGAGGAAAGCAATGGCTAACCTAAACAGCATGATAAAAAGTAGAGACATCACCCTGCCAAAAAAAGTCCGCATGGTCAAAGCAATGGTATTCCCAGTAGTCATGTATGGCTGCGAGAGTTGGACTATAAGGAAGGCCGAGCGCCAAAGAATAGATTCTTTTGAACTATGGTGCTGGAGAAGACTCTTGAGAGTCCCTTGGACTGCAAGAAGATCAAATCAGTCAATCCTAAAAGTAATCAACCCTGACTGTTCCCTGGAAGGCCAGATAATGAAACTGAAGCGCAAATACTTTGGCCACCAAATGAGAAGGGAGCACTCACTGGAGAAGACCCTGATGCTGGGAAAGATTGAAGGTCAAAGAAGATGGGGATGGCAAAGGATGAGATGGTTAGACAGTGTCATAGATGCAACGAACATGAAATTGAGCAAACTTCAGAGGACGGCGGAAAACAGGAGGGCCTGGCATGAACTGGTCCATGGGGTCGCGAAGAGTCGGACTCGACTGTGTGATTGAACAACAACAACAAAAAATGTAGGTGGCTGGATGTCTTTATGCTTTTATGCTCTGACTTGTTTTTTAAAGACTTCCTTTAATATTGACAGTGTTGCTGTTGTTGATTATTTTATTGTACTGCTTTTACTTTGTGAGCTGCCCTGAATGGCCTAGAAATTTGCTAAATAAGTAATTACAGATGTCCAGTTCTTTTAATAATCAATTTTTAATATACATTTTTCTACTTTGGTTCTTGTTACCTCTTGGATTTCTGTCCTTTGCCTAGTAAACAGCAAGCTCCTAGGGTAGAAAAATAGTAACCCTATTCACATGTTACATGAAAACACATACAGCCTGCAAATACATGTAGGAATGCCAGCCTTCAGGTGGGACCTGGAGATCGCCCGGAATTATAAACTCATCTCCAGACTACAGAGATCAGTTCCCCTGGAGAAGATGGGTGCTTTGAAAGGTAGACTCTTTGGCTTTGCACTGCACTGAGGTCCCTGTCCTCCCCAGGCTCCACCCCCAAATCTCCAGGAGTTTCCCAACCTGGAGCTGGCAACCCCACCCCCACCAATGGGTAGGGGGACCTGGCAACCCTAACTATACACTTGTTTGTAAGGAAGTAACAGCGTTCCGTGCGCCTTGGTGTTTAGTCATGCCGGCCACATGACCACGGAGACGTCTTCGGACAGTGCTGGCTCTTCGGCTTTGAAACGGAGATGAGCACCGCAACCCTAGAGTCAGATTCGACTGGCTATCGAGCAAGGGAACCTTTACCTTGTAAGGAAGAGCCAACATGTTTTTACTTTACAAATGAAACTGGGGGGATACATGTATATATTGTGGGGTTTCAGTCACACATCCAGCTGTTCATGTACTGAATGTAACATGAGAATGAATATGTATATAAAGACAAATCAAGTACCCTGGTACATGGATTGTATGCGTGTTCATTGTGCCTTGTGAACATGACTAGTGTGTCTTCTCTTTAAGGATAAACGGTGGCCACTGAATACGATATTAAGTAATAAAAATAATTAAAAAGTAATTTATAAAATACAAAAATCCCACCCTTGACATTAGTTGGCAATAAGGTGTGATGTTACAAATAGATCAAAGTGTGCAGCCGTGTTGGTCTGAAGCAATAGAACACAGTTAGGGTCCAACACAGTTAGACCAACAAAGTTTTATTCAAGTTTTATTCAAGGTGTGAGCTTTCGTGTGGGATATTACATCATTACATTACTTTGTGGGATATTACATCATTGCCACCCCTAAAGTTGGGGACCCTGATTGGGTGGAAAGGCAGTATAAAAATGTTTTGAAGAAATAAATAGTTGGTGTCAGAGTTGGTGGGATAATCCATAGCAACTTCCTTCCTCTGTTCTGTATGAACAAAAAGCTTTGTCAGGTTAGGCTGAGAAGGTGCAACTGGTCCAAGTTCACCCACCAAATTTCATGGCTGCCTGGTGACTTGAGCTTGGGAGCCTTAGTCAGACACTCAGTCTAAAGTCAATCATAAAAAGTCAAAGAGGACCTGACTGCAAAGAGGAAACCAGCAATCAAAGCCCCCCTTCCCTTTCCAAGGAACAAGCCCTGACTAATTAAGTGCTAATTCAGATATTGCCATCATTCCACGAATGAATGAACAGGAAGGAAGTAAAGTGGCAGAAATTGAGAAGCAGAATGTATTGTAAAAGAAAAGGGCAAGGAAGGAAATTAAATGGGCCATAGCCCAGGGGAAACCTCCAAAGTGCTTTATCAGTCCACACAGGAAAGAAAGAAAGAAAGAAAGAAAGAAAGAAAGAAAGAAAGAAAGAAAGAAAGAAAGAAAGAAAGAAAGAAAGAAAGAAAGAAAGAAAGAAAGAAAGAAAGAAAGAAATCATACCTATGAAGACTCGGTCACAACCTACTTAAGTGCATAATCAATAGGATCCTGTGTCTGTTTTGGTATTCAAAGCTCATGTACCTCTTTGGTGTTTATCTGTACTCCATAGACACCTGTGCACACACATACATGTCTCAGAGGCGAACATTCAATGCTCTTACCAGATGAAGTAAAGAACTTCCTGATGAATTCACTATGTGAGGATCGACACCATCTTTCAGTAACTGCAGAACTGAAATGGAAAGGGGAGGAGGGAAATAATGTGGCATGGCAGCAATTCGTTCAACCTGAAGCCTGAATTGTCCATCATTTACAATTCTGAAATTCTAGGATCAAAAAAAACAACCAACCCCTTCACTTTAAGAGAAATGTGAAGCCAGCCACTTGCTAATGACTTCAAGCTCCAAAAAGCATGGAAACTGCCAGTTAAACTTTACTTCTGTGCCATCGCAGCAGGAAACACCTAATTACCTCCCTGATTAATTTTTGCCCAACGTTGAGCTGGATCACCAAGGCAAAGTGTGGATACCGGAAGTCTAAGAACCAGACTACATATTACAATTTTGGTGAGCTGGGTTATTTATTTATTTATCGAAACATTTCTATCCCCACCTTTCCTCTTGGTTTCCTCTTGGGGTTCCCCAGACAGGACTCGTTTTTGCAGCAGCAGCACAGCAGCTGCACGGAGTGTCATTTTTAAAACTGGGAGGAGCCCAATTCTGCTCAGAGCTGCAGTGTGGGTAGAGGAGGGACTCCTGCTTCCCCCTTGTGCTGTTTTCCCTAGCCAAAATGACCCATTCGGGAGTCAGTTACTGCATAACTTTGGAGCTGTACATGTGCAGAATACTCCACATTCAACTCCAAAGTTACACAAATCACTCCCTGCCAGGGCCATTTCGATTAGGGAAAATGGCGTAGCAGGGAAGTCAGGAGTCCCCCCCCCCCCCCCCCGTGCGCGTTCACACCAAACAGAATTGGGCTCCTGCCAATTTTTAAAATAACATTTCCCCACAGCTGCTGTGTGGCTGCATGGAAAGTGAGTCGGGTCTGGAGAACCATGACCCAACTCACTAAAAAATGTGGGATGTAGATTGTCCTTGATTTGTCAGTGAGTACAACCAATGCGGCCATACTGTGGGTGGGAACCAATAACCCATGAATGGAAGGAATTTATAGAACCTGATTTCTGCCTTTTGTCCCTTATTTACTGCCCCACCACCCAAATTGTCCCTTATTTGCAGCCCCACCCCCCAAATATCACTCCAGGAAAGTGATAACCAACAAAGGAAAAATTACCCAACAAGGTGTCACAAACGGATAAACTGTGTACTATAAAGAATTACAAAGCCTGGGTAGCAGAAACAAACCTGATGGATTGGAAAATAAGTGAACTCCATTTTAACTTCCAGATAATTGCTTAGGCCATTGTTATGATTGATAGAGCTAACATGGTGAAGTAACGATTTCTTCAGCAAATTAATCTGAACACCCATCTCCAATAGCTGGGGAATCCTTCAAAGTTTATATCATGTCAGCTTATGGTTGCCAGCCTCCAGGTGGGGCCTGGATATCTCCCAGAATTGCAACTGATATCTAGACTACACCGATCAATTCTCCTGGAGAAATGGGCTGCTTTGGTGGGTGGACTCTATGACATTATACCCCACAGAGGTTTCCTTCCAAACCCTGCCTTCTCCAAGCTCCACCCCCCAAATATCCAGGAATTTCTGAACCCAGAATTGCCAGCCCTATGTCAGCCATATCAAAATTTTCTGCCAGGAGCAGAGAAACATATATTACAATAGTTTACTTCCTTCAAGCATCTCACAAGGAGAGTGTAGCCTCTGAGACAATACATTCAGGACACAAAGGCTTGAGGAGAACAAAAACTTAAAAACACACTTAAAAAAAAAAGATAATTCTTTTGACAAGAGAGGAAAAAATATTGAAAATAAAGCTGAATACTATTTTGATAGGGTAATGTTTTGTTAATACATTAATAGAATATTGGAAATGCGTAGGTGTTTGAAATCAAAACTATGACTGCCTACAAGAAAGAATAAAATAACTAAGTAAGAACAAGAAAGAAGCATGGTAAACAAAAGAAAGAGACAAAGGCTGGAAAGAGAATGACTGAAAGAAAGAGTAGAAGAGGTACAGAATGGAACCCAAAAGAACAATTTAAAACTGAGGATTATTCCAGACAAAATGAACTTATTCTAAAGAATCACAAAGCTATTTACATCCTGGGACACTTGCTAACTAAAGAGTTTGCAAGTTTAATTGAAAAAATTAAGGACTCGACTAAGTGTCTCCATTCAACATCACTGGACGATCGTTAAAACGAGGAGCAGAGCAATTAGTTCAACTTTCAGACGTATCCCGGTTGGAATCCACTTTTTACTGACTCCCCCTAGTTTATTTTTATTGAAAGTAATAATGGGGGTATTTAAAATATCATTCCTGAACATTAATAGAATTAATACAACTAATGCAAGAAGGAAGTATCTAAGAGAACTTTCAAAGGAGGGAGAGGGTATCTCTTTCCTTCAAGAGACCTATTTTAAAAATTGGGGAGGGGGGGAAGCATTTAGATTAACTGACTCCTGTGAAAGTCTACAGAACATCACATTAGATTAAAAAGTAAATAGTTCTATTCTATTCTATTCTATTCTATTCTATTCTATTCTATTCTATTCTATTCTATTCTATTCTATTGTAAGGCATATGTAGTGGCCCCCATAGTCTGCCTGAGGAGGTCAGGAAGCTCCCCCGCTTCTGTCATTCCACAAATTATATGCAACAGGAGGTCGTTTTTACAAAAGTAGTAAGGTTATATTATAACAAAATGGTTCAAGAAGGTCCTTTCATAGCCCTGACCTGGATAGCCCAGGCAAGCCCAATCTCCTCAGATCTCGGAAGCTAAACCGGGTCGGATCTGGCAAGTACTTGGGTGGGAGACCTCCTTGAAATACCAGGAGTCGGGAGGTGGGGGCAGGCCTAATTCAGCCACCTCTCTGAATATCCTCCAGGCCCCCAATAGGAGGTCAGTCACCAGAGGTCGCCATGACTTCCAGGTGTGCACACATACACATTCACATATTTTTTTTTTAAACAAAAGAAGGCACTTTTATAAAGACAGGAAAGTTGTGAACTATAGCACACTGTGGCTGTGATCACACACACTTTCAATCCACTTTCCAACTGGATTTTTACCGTGTGAACTGGCAAAGTCCAATTCAAAAGTGCACTGAAAGTGGATCGAAAGTGAATCATTGAGTGTGTGTGATCGCAGCCTGTGTATATCATGTATTCTCAGTCTGCTATATTATTATCCTACTCTCAGTTCCTGTTTTTTTAATACTTGTGTAATACCATTTTTGGACCGCTTAACATATCGTGCCTAATATTTTACGCCTTGCTTCAGATTGCTGCGCTCCTGTTGCATCGCTTGTCAGATGTCTCATCCTGTCGATTGCATTGATCCGTACGGCATAATCCTCCTTGAATCTCAAGGGGAAAACGTGGACCATAAACAAAGTAAATAGCTAAAATAAAAGTCAGGAGTGGTGGTTACGGTCAGAAATAATGTATTTGCAACCCAGAATATATTCAGAGAAGAAGTGGAGAACTACATTACTGTCACACGCATTTAGATGCTCAAGATTTTATTTCATTATGTACTTATGTTCCACATCTGAAACAAGTGAATGTTAACAGAGGTAGATGCTTCTCAGCCCTGACCTGAATAGCACCATGCTAGCTCAGGGGTGTCAAACTCATTTGTTATGAGGGCCGGATCTGACATAAATGAGACCTTGTTGGGCCGGGCCATGTGTGTCATAAAATGTAATGCCAGGTAGCGGAGATATAAACTTTATAAAGGACACAGACAAACAGAATTAAAGGTTTTTTAAACATTAAATAAAAACATGCTTAAAACACTAGCACTCTTGCAATATTTTGTTTATTTAACAGTGTCTGAAGTGTAAACATACACACCTAAAACATTTCGATAACTCTATATAGCTCAATGAACTACACCTGACTTAAGCCTTATACCCTTTGTTATGGTCCCTAGTATCCTACTATTAAGATATGGGTATTGTGTAATATCATTAAGATATAAGTACAAGGTATGGGTATTGTGTAATGTCATTAAGATATAAGTGCTCAGACCCTAAAATAAAGGCAAACTAAAGTAAGAAAAAGCAACTCATAAATGAAGCCATTTGGCATAGCCGACATGTGCTTGAAGGCATTAATTTTTATGCTTCCTGGTTTCTTCTGTATATTTGACTTATCTTTGAATTTAAAAAAATTAACTTAAAAACAAACTAACAAACAAAACAGTGTCTGATAACTGACACCTCCTGCTCTGAATTATTGCATCAAAATGTCTGTGCTGTTGCAATCTTGAGTATGCTGTTCGGGTGTGTATCTGTAAGCTGCAAACCTACGATGATGCAGCAGCAGCAGAACTGGAAGAAGAAGCAGAAGACAGCCAGTTCCACTGTGGGCCTGACAGAAGCCCCTCTGGGGGCCTGATCCGGCCCCCAAGCCGCATGTTTGACACCCCTGTGCTAGCTCAATCTTATCCATTCTCAGAGGCTAAGCAGGGTCAGCCTTGGTTAGTGTTTGGATGGGGGACCTCCAAGGAATACCACAATTGTGATGCGGAGCCAGGCAGTGGCAAACCACCTCTGAATGTCTTGTGCCTTGAAAACCCCACCAGGGGTCGCCATAAGTCAGCTGTGACTTGATGGCAAAAAAACCAACAACAAATCCCATGCATCCGGGAGTATTCATATTGTTTAGCTGTTCCCTACTTAGGCATGAATAAAACACAGCTGTACTTTACCACATCAGAGAATACTTGCAAGAGGTGTTCTGTAAGTTGACTGATCATTACCGGTGCCATCCTAAACAGAGTTACACTCTTTTTAAGCCCACTGACTTCAGTTGACTTAGAAAGGATGCAATTTAGTTTAGGACTGCGCTGTAATACTGCAAATTCATTATATGGATTAGATTAAAGACGTTGTTACGTGGTATAACACAGACGACTGTTGCTCAATGTGTCCACATTACCGTCTTTATCGTCGTGGCATACAACGGCATCCTGTATCATGTCCGAGGGGCTGAAATGAACTTTGTGCTTCCTCCTGCGTTTCGACTTCTTGGCGTAGCCTTCCTGCTTCAGGAACGCCTTTTCCCATTCATAGTACGCTTTTATTTGATCACACCGCATCCGCTTCACCAACCGCTGCCGCTGGCCGAGAGGGAGGGATTCCAGCAAGCACTGGTCAATTTCCATGTCATGGGATCGAAAAACGTTACATAGCTGGAAACAGCCTGGAAAGACAGGGAAGATCGAAGAGCTCGTTGTGTTAGTGGTACACAGATTTCAGATGTTTCAGGAACACCTCACAAATCCTTTTGTGGTTTATACTTAACGGTGTGCAAGTACTGGGTGATCTCGCCGTATGCACAAAAACATTAAAAAATAGTTTCATGCGGTTCTGTATCAGAGGCACGCGGCACCGTTTCTGAAATGCGCTCTGCGATTTCTTTACATAATTCGTAAATGGAAAGAAGAGGAGGGTTATACACTGAAGACCCAGACAGAAGCATGCCTCTTGCTCTCACGCATTTTATTTCTGCATTGCCTCTTACCTAGTGAGAATAGCGCCAAAACATGCCATGTTCATCATAACATGTTCATTAGTGGTGTGGTGGTTAAGAACAGAGTGGACTCTAATCTGGAGAACCAGGTTTGATTCTGCACTCCTCCACATGAGGCCTGCTGGGTGACCTTGGGCCAGTCACGGTTCCCTCAGAAACCTCTCAGCCCCACCTATCTCACAAGAGCCAGTTTGGTGTAGTGGTTAAGTGCGTGGACTCTAATCTGGGAGAACCAGGTTTGATTCCCCACTCCTCCACTTGCAGCTGCTGGATGACCTTGGGCAAGCCATAGTTCTGTCAGAGCTGTCCTTGAAAGAGCAGTCCTTGAAAGAGCTCTCTCAACCCTGCCTACCTCACAGGGTGTCTGTTGTGGGGTGGGGAAGGGAAAGGAGTTTGTAAGCCATTCTGCAGGGTGTAAATCCAATCTCTTTTTCTTCTTCTTGTGGGCAGAGGAAGGAAATTGTAAGCCGATTTGAGACTGCCTAAGGTCAAAAAAAGCGGGATATTAAAAACAACTCTTCTGCTAATAGAAACGACAAAATCATACCCGATTCAGCATGGCATGGCCGTTTCCACAATATTTAGCTACCCGCTGTGGAATCACGTAATGACAAGAATGTTAAGTCTTGGGAACAGATTAAAAGTAGACTCTCCCTAGCTTCAGTGAATCAAAACAATTGCCCTTTGACCCATTGTTTCATGTGCTCTTAATGTTCTCAGCGGGAAATTATTTTGACTCGCATGAAAACACACGAAGCTGCTTTATACTGAATCAGACCACCGGTCCATCAAGGTCAGTACTGGTCTACTCAGACTCCAGGGCTTCAAGTAGAAGCTTTCAGCATCACCCAGTACCTGATCCTTTTCATTGGAGATGCCAGGGATTGAACTCAGGACCTTCCGTGTGCAAACCAGAGGCTCTTCCACTGACCCACAACCCTTCCTCTGCCACTATCCTGGCCTTGAGAGCCTTCATTTATAAATGAGCTTCAGGAATCCTCGTTTCAGCACACTAATTTTCCCCGGGGCAGCATTCCATAGTTGCACAGTCCAGTATTACATCTCCTCAGGGGTCATTTCGTAGAAAAAGAGGTGCAGGAGCTCATTAGCATAACTCATTAGCATAACTTATTTGCATGTGCCACACCCCCTGACATCACCGGAAGTGTGTCAGAAGGCAACACCCACCACTCAGGCTCCACTGGACTGTTTTGGATTGCTAGCTACTGGGGGGGGGGGAACGTGCGCCTGCCCCCTGGGCTCCTTACTGCCGGAGCTCCGCTCCTGTGCGCTCCTGCAGGAAATGACCCCTGCATCTCCTGCTATAATAGGCAGGCTCATTGGTCAAACACAGCTTTTTGTACCAGATCCCAGTTCTTCCTAGTCGCAGGCCTGTAGCTACAGTGGGGTACTTAGGGACCCTGCCCCCTAATTAAAAGCCCTGCGCACCCCCCCCCCAATTAATTTGTATGTTTCCCAAAGGCTTATGGGGATGCTTTTGAAAGACTCACCATGACCTAGGTGATGTACAACAGGACTGGGCTAGCAAAAAGGGGGATGGTTGGTGAAGTGCTGAAGGTACTACTCTTGAGTGCCCTTCTAAGCTTTCTTGCTCTGTGGAATTTTTGCTCACAAGACTCCACAGCTTAGAGTGAGCAAAGGCCAGAAACATAATGAGATTCCAATTAGATAGGTTACTCACATGCTGCTGTAGCTGTCAATGTGTTTGGCACATTTAATCAGCTTCAGCTAATATGGCAACTGCAGCCGGTCTTCAAAAAGCATGACCTGGGCTCAGTGATCCATACTCCGGTGGCATTCAAGTTAGGATACTGTCATTCACATGGGGGCTGCCTTTGAAAAAGGTCTGGAGACTTCAGTTGGTCCAAAAATGCAGCATCAAGCACTACTGTTGGGGGCTGGATATGGGGATTGCATGTGATGAAAGATTGTTACTGGCTGCTTATCAGTTTCAAAGCACAATTCAAAATGCCGCTACTTACTTTTAAGGAGGAGGAGGAGGAGATTGGGTTTATACCCCGCCCTTCACTCGGAGTCTCAGAGTGGCTTACAAACTCCTTTCCCTCCCCCTCCCTACAACAGACACCCTGTGAGGTAGGTGGGGCTGAGAGAGGTCTGACAGAACTGTCCTTGAGAGAACAGCTCTGACAGAACTATGGCTTGCCCAAGATCATCCAGCAGCTGCGAGTGGAGGAGTGGGGAATCAAACCTGGTTCTCCCAGATCTGAGTCTGTACACTTAACCGCTACACCAAACTGGTGTACTAGGGAACGGGAAGAGATGCCTTCCCCAGTACTGTCCAGCCCGCCTATTAAAATACCATTCTCAAGCCCTGCAAGGGTGAAGCAGTTTGTAACCTGAGATGGGGATTTTCAGTGGTGAATTTCACACCCCTTCCCTTTGGAATGCCCTCTCCTTGGAGGCTTGTGTTGCATCTCAAAGGGACAGGTGGTGGCAGTCACCTAGTGAATGTGTGGGCTACTGTTTCAGAGACAAACAGTAGCCAAACGGCTTCAGGGAGGCTGTGGAAGTAGGGTCCTCTGGCTTTCCCTGAGGGGAGGCAGATCTCCTGCTATATGGGAGACTGCCACATAACAGGCCACTGGGGAGGAAATTAATGGCGTTCCTTAGCAGAACAAATGTAGAGTCGAGTGGCACCTTTAAGGCCAACAAAGGTTAATTCAAGGTATGAGCTTGTGTGTGCGTGCACACCTTCTCAAATACATTGGAATGGAAGGTAGAGTTCAACCTTATAGACAGAGGCTGAACCTCAAACTAACATGTAACATGATGAAGATGTTTTAAGATAGGTAAAGGTAAAGGTTCCCTTGCTCGAAAGCCAGTCGAATCCGACTCTAGAGTTGTGGTGCTCATCTCCATTTCAAAGCTGAAGGCTGGAACTAGAGACGGGCACTCACTCCGTCATGCGGCACACTCGGTCTCGAACTGCTGAACTACCGACCTTCCACAGCCTGCAGTTCAGCGTCTTAACCACTTGAGCCACCGCAGCTCCTTTTTAAGTTTTAAGATACTCAGTGACAAAACTAAATAACAGGCAAAGGTTATAAGGTCAACAGTTGTTTTGATTTAATTAAGGGGAAAAGGACCACAAAGCAACAAATATGAGCCTGCCTGTGCGGCAAGGTGGGATATAAATAAATAATAAGATAGGGTATAAATGTTTAAAGGCATCTTTTCTAATTGTGGGAAGTAAACTGAGACTCCCCATTCTTCTCCTCTCAGGCATGGAGGTAACGTAACAGCCTTTCTTTCTTTCTTTTTTGAGTGTTGCGCCAATCGGTGTTCCCTCTCAGCTGAGTTAGTGTGAGCTAGTTCACAGTTTTTTAGCCTCCGGCTCACACGTTTTTGTCTTAGCTCAGGAAGGATGGCTCCAGAGCAAACTAATTTATGCAGTAGCCAAATCTCTTGCTCACAACTTTAATGCCAGTAGCTCACAAAGGAGATTTTTTGCTCACAGGACTCCACAGCTTAGAGGGAGCATTGGGGCCAATGCAAGACAACATCACTTTCAGCAAAAAAAAGACAGCTGGCAACCCTTCTTTCCCCTGCTCTTTCCCCTTGGATCCCTGTGGCGAGCTGTATCTTTCTGGCCTCCAGTCACCCGGAGTTAGAGCATGTCCTTGTGGCCTCTGGTAATGGGACTCTGACATAAAGACATTTTGCACAAAGCAGAGCGCTTCCCGCCACCAGTCACACAGACCAAAAACACACAGACCAAAACCCCCATACAAATCCATCTTGCGCTCCAAAATGACCTGGGATCTGAAAGCAAGAATGCTTCAATCGCCCCTCTGCTCCGACCGTAATTTGTTTGCAGATCACGAGCGGGGCCTTCGAACAGATTATCAGTTTTTTTAAAATGCCGGAGATCGAATCAGAAATCTCCTGCAGACGCGTGTTCTCACACTGTTCGCCCATCCCCGTGTTATGTGTTAAAAACAAAAATTGGTTTAAAGAAAATGTTGTTTCAGTCCTGCCTTGGGGGAGAGCAGCTACACGGCTTCTGTCTCTGTTCTAGCCATGCCCATTTGCCTGGCAAACTCCATACGCACAGGGCCTGGGTCCCAAAGACTTGGCCATGGCTTTCCTTCTCCCCCATCTGGTTCCCCAACATGCCCAAAAGGGAAAAATCTCAACTTCCAAAATATGTGATGCCGTCTCCCACATTATGCACTCTCATAAATGAAGCCCCATGTGTGCGTCCTTGGCAGTGGCTTTTCAGCTCAACGTTGAGTTCAAGAGCCGTGTCCAGGCAGAAATTTAACAGCTGAACATATGGAGCTGCCTTATAGTGAATCAGACCGTCGGTCCTTCAAGGTCAGTATCGTCTATTCAGACTGGCGGCAGCTCTCCAGGGTTTCAGGCGGAAGTCTTTCACATCACCTACTTCCTGATCCTTTGAACTAGAGGTGCCATGGATTGAACCTGGGACTGTCTGCATGCGGAGCACACAGAATCATAGAATTGGAAGGGACCTCCAGGGTCATCTAGTCCAACCCGCTGCACAATGCAGGAAATTTGCAAATACCTCCCCCTCCACACCTGTAGTGACCGCTGTTCCACGCCCATGTTCTAGGGGTTGCCAGGTCCCTCAGCAGAGTAGATGGGGGATGGGGGTGAAACTACTG